AGTCCCGAGGTGCCGGATTCCCCCTCGGAGCCCAGGTGAGTGTCCAGGCTGTGCCTGTCCCCGCTCTGCCCGTGCCTCGCCGTGTCCCCGTGTCCCCGTGTCCCTGTCCCTCGGCATGTCTGTGTCCTCTGTGTCCCTGTCCCGGCTTTTTATCCCTGAGGGATTGGCAAAGGGCCACCAGCCCCGGGGTGAGTGACCCTGCAGGGACAGCCAAGGGCCACCAGCCCGAGTGACCCTGCAGGGACAGCCGAGGCCACCATGGGTGAATCCCAGAACGGGATGGAGATGATCCAACATCTGGCAGCTTTAGGGCACAGACCATATGGGTGAATCCCAATTCCAGGAATGGGATGGAGATGATCCAACATCTGGTAGCTTTAGGGCACAGACCATATGGGTGAATCCCAATTCCAGGAATGGGATGGAGACCATCCCAGCTCTGAGCTGCCCGGTGGGATGGAGTTATCCCAAAACCGGAGACCCTCCAGGCCAGCGGGTGGGGACAGGCCGGGGGGTTTGTCCCAGCTGGCTCGGGGGGAGGAGGAGGAGGAGGAGGGGAGGAAGGGGAGCATGAGGAGGAGGATGAGGAGGAGGGGAGGAAAGGGTGCTGCAGGAGGAGGATGAGGAGGAGGGGAGGAGGATGAGGAGGAGGGGAGGAAGGGGCACTGCAGGAGGAGGATGAGGAGGGGAGGAAGGCACTGCAGGAGGAGGATGAGGAGGATGAGGAGGAGGGGAGGATGAGGAGGAGGGGAGGAAGGCGCTGCAGGAGGAGCATGAGGAGGAGGGGAGGAGGATGAGGAGGAAGGGAGGAAGGCGCTGCAGGGCTGCCCGGCTGTGCCCGCAGTGAGAAGGCGCTGCAGTCCAACCACTTTGAGCTGAGCATCAGGACGGAGGCGACGCAGGGGCTGCTGCTCTGGAGCGGCAAGGGGCTGCAGCGCTCCGACTACATCGCCCTGGCCATCGTGGACGGGCGCGTGCAGCTCAGCTACGACCTGGGCTCCAAGGGCGTCACCCTGCGCTCCAGCGTGCCCGTCAACACCAACCAGTGGGTGCGCATCCGCGCCTCCAGGTCAGC